TGCATTTGATGCATTCACATATATTTTCTAATCTCTTATGCTTTCTGTGAAAATGACACACGTATATTTAGAATCTATAATAAACCCTTCGGTGACGACTCAGTTTCCCTCTTTCAGCCTTTGATATTTTTAGTCATGTGGGATTGTTTTCCCTGCTCTACATTCAGCGAATGTAAAAGTAAAGCAAACATGACTCCGGGCTTCAGCGATGTGACATTTGCTGTGAATGTGGTGTTTGTTTCACTTTTCTTGGTGGAAATGTCACATGGGGTCAGTTTACCCACACTGCATCTAGGGAAAAAAAATGAAAAGTGTTGTCAGAGCAGTTCAAGCCTGTCAGTCACAATCATGCACACCACCAAACAAGCAGACAGCTCACGTCTTATATATCTTATATCAACTCGTGTTTGATTTGTTTAGCATATGATGTGGTTGCTTTGGATGTTTTTAGTGATTAAAGTTTTGTTATCGACTGCAGTCAACTGGTACATTGATTTTCACCATTACAGATAAGCTTTAACCTCTAGCTCAAACCTGTTAAGAAAGACCTGCAGGAATGATGAACAAAGAGAGACAAATTAGAAGTTTCCTCGCCTGAGACCTAATCCTGCTCCGCAACTATGGGATTATATTAGCATCACAATTTTGAGCCCAAAAAGTCCTAAATAAAATGTTCTCACAATTTAAAAATGTATTTTGAGTGAGCAAAAATCTATTTTGAGCGGAGAATCTGTTTGTATCGTGTTTGCTCTCACATTCAATTCCAATTCCAACCAATCAGAGAGGAGTCTTCTATCTTCTGATTGGCTGGCCTGTACACCAACCACAGCATTATCTCAACAGAAGCAGACAACAAAAAAGTTGTTTATTTTTTGTTTTATTAACAATTCAAGGCACTGTACAATTGTACTCAGCTGAATAAGGGTTGGAAAAAAACTAACATTAAAAGAGATGTAAATACAGAACAGAAGAAATTTCTTAAAAGTGTGTAAAACTACGTAACATAGTTTTCAAGTCGCTTGATTGCAAACAACCCCCGTAGCTTATTTAGAATAAACAAAATAGTACTTACTTTGCGCTGAGGGGTGTTTCTTTCTTCAACGCAGTCCTGATTCGCCACACTGTCGGCCATCTTATCATATTTTCTATTTACATTTATATTGTTGTTTTATCTTTCCCTTATTCAGGTGAGTACAATTGTACTGTACCTTGTTAATACAAATAATAATAATAATAATAAAAACTTTTACTTATCTGCTTCCGTTGAGAGAAGGCTGTGGTTGGTTTATAGGCCAGCCAATCAGAATATAGAAGACTCCTCTCTGATTGGCTGAAATTGTGGCAGTTTGTTTTGAATGTTAGAGCAAACAAGAACTTCAATTTTGTGCATACAATCTGTACAAATCTGAAGTATTTCTTGGCGAGAAGAACATTTTATTCACAAACCACACTTCTTCGCATGCGTACAAAATGTCTTTTTGCATTCTCAAAATAAGACTTTTTGCGCTCAGAATTGTGCCGTTCCTGTAATCCCATACGCAACAGGAATCCAATTGTTTGCCTTAAGATTTCTTCCATTGCTCGTAGCGTATGATTGTCCATTTGATGTTGCACAGTATGCTCAATCTTGACTTTGTATTAAAATGTGTGTTTCACTCCTGTACTTTCTTTGCAACTCAAATCCAGAAGTGACAGCTATACATTGCTCTTTATAGATGCTTTGAGTTCATAATAATTCACTTTGGAATCAATCGGACCACGCTGTGGAATTAATAAGTTCTGCAATCCTTGCATGCTTTACAAAAGTATATTTTGGAAAGTAGAGCATCGTGTGTGCTCTTCATCCCTTATGTCAGATCTTCATGCTGAGGGAGATTTACACAGAGACACCATGCAGCGCGGAGAGCACCGCCTGTGTTTATGTGTGAGAGAGGCCATGTCAGCTAGAATCAAGGCTCATGACTCTGTGCGCGTGTGTGTGCGTGTGTGTGTAGGTGTAAATGTGTGTGAGGAGACAGGAGGGTTCCCATTGGCTGGCTAGTCCAGGGCTGCACCTGTTGTGTGTGTGTGCGCGTGTGTGTGTGTGTTTGAATCAGCGTAAGGAAAGCACGGGTTCAGAGTTGGGGAGTGGAAGAGTCTCTCTCTCTTTCTCTCCCACTCTCTCCTCACTCTCCAGTCTGACAGCATCCAGGAACCCAAACCTCTCCTCCCTTTCTCCTCTCCGCTTCATCCACTCTTACCCTTGGTCTGGCCATCCACCACCATGCGTCTGGGAATTTCAGGGTTCATTACGGATATCCTCAGCACCTCCAGCAACATCTGTTTCTGCTGGGCCGAGGGGAAGGTAGAGGCAGAAAGGAACTTCGTTTGTTTAACTTCTTCTCTTTCTCTTTGCTCTGAGCTGCTTTGGTGTTTTGTTGCCTCTTTAGAGCTTTGCTGGCTTGAAATGTTCTTTGGGTGGTGGTTTGTGCACAGAAGTGCAAGGAAGTGTAGAGCAGCATGTTGTTGTGAAGTGCAACCAGCAAAAAGTGAGAAGACTTCTGCTGGATGCCGGACCACTGGATTTGGATTATTGGGTGTTTTCTGATGGGGTTTAGGGTTTTGTGTTCATCTAGTTTTGAGAAAAGTGCCCGTTTGTTACTGGTGCCCACAGATTGGTCTTGGCACCCTGGATGAATTTGCTTCTCAAAATGTTTGAAATCCACAGATTATTTTTGGTCTGATCATTTTAAAAGAACGTCTAGAAAAAAGGCACTTTAAGCTACTTGAAAGAAAAGTATAACCAATACATTCTCTGTAAAATAGATCAGTTTCGGTTTATTTCAAAGCTCAATGGTATTATTTGTTCTTCTATTTTGTAGCACTGACCACTTAGAGGAAACTACAATATTAGCGTTTTAATCAGAATTCCTTTTGGTTTGGATTATAGAATATTGTCTCTTTCTCAAATACAGTCATTTTTTTTATTGTGTTCAAAGGCTCCTTGTGCACCACCTAGAGCATATTACAGAAACTTTTAAATTGTATTGTTTTTCTGCTGTGCTCACAAAATTCTTGCATTTTTTTTTCAAATCATAATTTTATTTACAGTACACAAAGTTCACTGAACCCGTTTTTATTGTATTTAGTTTTTAATCTGTTAATCGTTTGAAACTGGGGTATTAAGGTGTGGTTCAAACTCGGCCCCGCCCCTTTGTGTTCATTCTTCAAATTGTGCTCAAAATACACTGTATAAATCATAGCCGACATGAAAAATATCAGCGACGTGACACCACCTACTGCCATTGGGCTAATATGAGGCGAATGTGATATGGGCACCGCCATGACAGTCTGAGAGAGGGTGCTCATGCACACACGTGATAATTTGCAGCTAAATTTGCAGGATATGTTGAGTGGTCAGTCAGCTCACATCAGTGTAGCTGTCAATCATTCTGTCAATTGCATGGCCCCGCCTAGTTTTTTAGATGAAAACTGAGCCATCGTGAACCATGCCTAAATAAACGTAAACAAACTATATTAACTGCATAGATAACTTTCGAAAATCACCAAAACCCTAATAACCTAATTTCTGGGGAATTCAGCTTTTCCATAGACTTGTATTGGGAGGAAACCATACTGCAGCCAGCCATGTGGGGGTGATCGCCACAGTTTGCCTTCACTCTGTCGGCGATTTGTGCCACACTTGCATCAAAATGGAGCTCTGTGGACAATATAAAAATACGGACAGAGTGTCAGTGACGTTACCCATAGGTTTTCAATTAAAGGTCTTCCCCTGTTTTCCCCGGTGGTGTTTAATCGGAATGGACAGAGCCTGCATTTCATACACTGACCACAATTTTAACATTCAATAGGAACCACAGAGCAGGTTCCCATTGAATGTTAAAACTCCCCACTTTACAGGGAGACAAAGGCTGGGAAACCCCTCATCAGAAACCTATGGGCTCACCCAGAAAGGTAACATACATTATAAACATTATAGAGAAACGTGTATAAACATGGTTTAGCTGTAAAGTTGGGAATTTTAATGTCGATGTCAATGGGCGCTTGCACACTTCTAAAATCAGCCTCTAGTGGCCAGTTGAAGAACTGCTATAGCTGTACCTTATTTTGCACATCAAGAGGGAAGGCTATGTGAAGGCTAAATGTTGGGTTTTAACATTAATGATCATTTAAAAAAGTCCCTATAGTATGATTATACATGTTGACAATTGTAAAATGGGAGTGTTGCAGGAGTGCCCTGTGATGGACATTGTGTGCTGTAGAGCCGGCAGAACTCTGTGACCCCATACTAAGTTGCTTTGTTGTCCACAAACCAGAATATTTGAGCTGGAGTGTTGGTAGTAATAGTAAAATAAAGTGTAATGTATGTATTTACACAGTAAATAACAGCACTGTATATACAAAGTGTCACTGGTGATTCTGGTTAAACAATGTTGGTACCATTAACATCCATTACACGATACTATGTGGTTTTATTAAGCGGAGGCGTTTTCACTCCCATCCCAACCGCTGTGAATCTCCCGGCTCAAGGCGAATGGGAGGACGTATTTCTTTTTCTAATCAGTCTGCTCTGGACGTGTTGCGACATCCGTCTGCCAGATTAATGCTTCCATATTGATTGATCAATTTGGACGTGTAGATCTACGAGCGTGATGGAGCAGGCCAGCTTAACTCATCTGACACTGTTTATTCCCTGAACGCCAATAGATCTTTCCATTTCTAGAAAACTGCATAATGAAGCATCAAGAACCCTCCAAACAATCTCTGCTGAGCATATCCAAACCTTAAACGATTGACGGCGGCATGTTTCTGACTGTAGATGTAAATGTCCAAGACTGTGAGATTTGAATCAAGTGTTTCGGATGTTAGTGGTTTGATTAGCTGGTTTAAAAACGCTCAAAAACGTCTATCCTGCTTTTGAATTCGGAAGAGTTGTGTTCAACTGTAGGCAATTCAAGTAAATTGTACTATTTTTATTCATTCTTTTTATTTAATACCGCTTTCCTGTGGCTCAGTTGGTAGAACATTGTGCTAACCACACAAAGGTCGGCGGTTCAGATCCCAGGGAAAGCAAGAAAGCAAAAAAAAAGTTGCTTTGGATAAAAAGCCTCTGCCAATTGCAAAAATGTTAACGTAAAAATGTAAATGTTATCAGTAGCCTCCCACACTTAGAGTATATACTCTATTATATCAGGGATTCAAAGAAATGCTGGTCGTATAGAAGTAGACCCCAGCCACCCTTTGGAAAGAGGTAGAGGTATATCGAAACCCCTGCCAACAGCTGTGAAATTTGCAACCCCATTATCCTATACTATATTTATTTAGATGTACAGTTGAGCTCATCAGTTTACATCATCTGTCACATTTTCTGATTTCTTGGCCATTTTTCAGAAAATATGAATGGTGACGCAAAATCTTTTTTCTGACTCATGGTTAGTGGTTCGGTGAACCCTGTGATCCTAAATAGAACAAAATTAATGAAAAATGGATGATGAGTCTGGGCTACGAACATAAAACCAATTGAATCTGCGAGCAGCGATCAAAGGGCTCTCGCATCTCCAGCACCATCCCCTTTCGGTGGCCATTTTGTTGCAAAATGCACTTCGACTAATCCCTGTTAACGAGATGCGTTCAAGCGAGAATTGGTGAAGGTTCTGAACAAAACAGGCAAATTAAATAATGAAAACCACATCATAAAGTGTCATGACCCCAAGGTGGCGCTGCGATTGAGTATTTTTCTGTTATTGTTTTTTTGTAGCCTTTATTTATCAAAGCAAAATCAGCCTTTAAACAACAAATGAACAACCCCACCCCCCCAAATAGAATATCAAAGTGGGCCTTTTCAAGAACAAGTACACAATATAAAAAAAATAAATAAATAATTAAATAAAGGCTTTAAACATAACTTGGCATTCAATCACCAATAGGTTATAGACTTATCTCTGCTTATCTCTTAAAAACTTGCTTTCTGTTATGTTTAACATATGTTATAATGAGTAAAAAGAAGTCCAGTGTCAATGTTGCATGTTGTATTTCCTGTGGCCACCTGGTGGCGCTATAACCAACGTCATATGTCATAAGTACGTCATACAATAGTATGTCATACATGCGCTCAGACCTGAAATTTTAACAGAGTTGAAAAATTTGGCACCGATCAGAGATTCCATGGCTGATTTATTAACAACTTCCTGTTTATGAGGAAATATTGATGGCCACTGTGCAAACATAGTTTAATGAAGTCCCATATGCCTTAAGATAAGACTGATGGAGTGACAACAGCAGAGTTTTGTGCAAAATTACTGACTTCTCGTCAATTTAGGAAACGCAATCTATATTAATTATATTTAAGCCTTGGTATCCTATACATGTGTGCCGAATATCATTCACCAACAACAAAATGAAATGCGTTAGGTGGTGCTATAGAGCCATTTTCCAACACTCACTTTTCTAACCTCAATCAGATGTCAAATTTCACCAGATCTGACATGTGTATGAAATTCGGTGAGTTTTTGATCAAGTATACAGGCAAAAATGCACTGAGAGCTGTGAACAACAATTGTCTGAGCAATTTCAAAAGGGTTCCATGCACCTTCGGTCAAAGAAAAATTGAATTGAACATAAAAGTAGAATCTCTTTCGGGAAATGTTTAGTAAATTCTGCCATTTTTTGGTCCTTTAAAAATTTCCATGGTTTTGGATAGTGTTAGCAAATATGCTTTTTTGTCTTGTTTTCCAGAACACCTTATCGGAAAGCTTTAAATGTTATTGAGAATAGGGTTCAAGGAGGTTTACAGTCTTATGGGTGTATTGGCAAACCAAAATAGAGTGTCCTTTTTAAGCATTGGAGAAATCGCAATGTCAGCAAAATGCAAATGAACCTGAGCAAATTGAGGCTCTGCATCGATCCTGGATGACCATCTGAGATGACATTACTACTGATTTTTACATAAAATTACGGTCTAACAGAAATAATACATAAAAACGAGAGGAGCAGTATAGAACATTTTTTTATTTTACTTTATTTTCCTTTGTGCAATCACACGTCCTGTTTTTTAAGATTCTGAACTTGTCCACAGGCGTCAATATGTGTCAGGTCACAGTGCTTCTCTGAAAAGCTAGTGTTTGGTAAAGCCAAGCCTTTTGGAAAAGACAAGCTCAAACATGTTTTCCTGCTTCAATTTTGATGAACTTGTGAATAATGCATTCCATTATTTTGCATGTTAAATAGACTTAGTGCACACCGAGGTTGGTTCCAAAGGATTTTGGAAACATTGCTGAAACAAGACCTTCAGATCATAGTGTTCAACCAGCACTTTATGCAATATTTACAGTTTGCATTTTAGATGTTTTTGTTTATGCAGTGGTACTGCTTGTCCTTCGGTGGCAGATTCTCCTCCAAAGAAAATCACTTTTCATCCAAAAAATTAAGGATCTTTAGAAAATATGATGTATTACACCAATAATAATTTAAAGAAAAGCTGCAAGCAGCGATCCAAGGGCTCTTGAACTATTGTCTTTCGATAGCTGCCACGCACACAAAGTTAAACAGAGTCGGCAAAACTTAGCAATGTAACATCCCATATGCCCAAGGTGGACGAAGACATTCTCTAGAAGGAGTTTGTTACAGTACAACGCCTGGAATTCTACAGTAAAAAAAAACAACTTTCTGTCCTTTTTAGAAACCCGCTCCAATTTACTTTTTTATAGGTCTTGCTCCCTTACATAAGTGTTCCAAATTTCAAACTTGTACTGCATAAAATAGTATAATCCATGTTGCCACTAGGTGGCGCTATAGGTTAATGATACTACAGTTTACTATACGAATTTGTTCAGACATGGACTTTTAACATGCTTAATGCTAGTCAAAAAGCTTCACATTTAGGATATGGCAATCCAAAACTCTTTTTCGATGTCACGTTGGCGCCCATGGTTTTTGCGCGTCGCACAAAACTTCGCAGCGAAAATTTGGGTCGATGTGTATTGGCCCTTGTCTAATGTACAGTTTACTTTGACTCCTATGATGTCCCATGAGAACTTCTACTTGTTAGACTCAGCAGTTAGTCCAGTGTTCCGGTTCACCTGCTGGTTCTTATTTTGATTGACTTCCTGGTTTACTTAAAATATCTACTTATGTTCCTGAATCTCATCTGCTGCTCTGCTTGCTGTAAACAAGGTGGATTATGACGTGGGTTGTTTTTCAGGAGCTCTGCTTACCCCTTTCAGGAAACCTCCATTCTCCCCACTTTCTGCAAAAACCTTGAGTGAATTATTTTGGTGGAACTTGACTTTCTTGGAACACATTTGGAGTTAGAACCAGTCCAACTCTTCTTGATGAATGGTAACCATTTCCCATGAACGAACTACATCTTCTGGAGATCTGTAGAGAGACACAGTGCTCGAAATAACAACACCCTCCTTTAAAAAGTATGCATTTAATACGTAGCTCAATGAACAAAAGAGTGATTTCCAAACGTTTCACAAGGCTGAGTTGTTGAACACTTATTTAACTCTATAACTTGAAATTAAGGTTACCCCGTTAGAAAAACCACTGTGTATGAGTACTGTGATTTTTAAGGACACCACAAAGTTGTCTAGGAATGGATGGAACAAGTTGGCGACATATTGCTTTTTTCATTCTTCAGGAAGAATCTCTTATAGAGCCTCGGATGATGGATGGAGATCGTTGCCGGTCTTTGTTTCTCAGATTTCCTGACTTTTTTTCTTCCATGGGGAGCCGTAACCGACAGCTTAGAAGGGAAGGGCTTTTCTTTGTAATGTAATGCCTTTTATAGTCACCTAAACATTGTATTAAACACTATGGCCTTAGAATGAGATTTCACTCATATGTCGAAATGCAGATACTTTGTGAGCGCTCCGTGGAATAGATGTGATCCTACATTTGAATAATATCAAAACATTCTTCCAATTATATACCCAGAAATTCCACGTTTCCTTCTCACAGTGCTGTTCCTGATGCCAGACATATTTCTGTGACATTTTCTCATGCAGAGAGCTTTAACCTTTGCATCTAAAGGTCATAAGTAAAGGTTTCAGATTTGGAGCATAATACTCAACACAATGTGATGCTGTGGCACATTGATGATCTTATCTTAGTCTTTCATAGGATTCATGTTATTACGTATATATTCCATGAAACTCATGTCATTCGCAGTGTGTTCTCACTGGTATAATAGATTCAAATTGAGAATCTGACATTGAGCTGGTTTTTTCATGATTAGTGTGTTCTTAAATATCTGCAAGCAAGGTTAGGATTTTTAGGAAAGAAGATAGAGTTGCATCTGGAAAAGACACCGGGGCAGGATTTGAACCTGGTCGCAGAGGTAAATATCAGGGAAAGAAGCACTTGGTAATTTGAGCTGACAGCTTTGCCTTTCTTTGGGAAGGTACATGGGGAGGGGGTCATGGGCATGTAAACTTAAGAATTGAGCTCTTTAATGATAAATTAAAGCTAGTCTTTCAGCTTTCGAAAAGCAGCACATCCACAAGTTATCATTGATGTATATTTTATGCCTAGTAAAATTGATTTCAGTTATTTGTATTACAAAATTCTTGGCCTGGATAGTGACCAACAGTTTTAGTACAAAGGCTGCCATAACTTTGAAACTACTTTCTTGTTATATATTCCTTGAGGTCAATGAGTATTTATAATAAGTTCTCCTACTTAAAAATCATGACTGGGTCCAGAACGTTAAGCATAGCAGCATTTCCATCGTGACTGACAGAATTTATTACAAAAAGTACTTTTACTCGATGTTCCTTGCAACGGCCATAGTTCTTACCTTACCGATAAATCAGATCATTATGCATTAACTATGTCCAATGTGAAATCTGCTCAGATAATCTGGCTGATAAGTGATCAAATATTTATTTGACACAGTTATGAACAATCCTACAATGTGATTTCTGGATTTTTCTTTTTAGATTCTGCCTCTCACGATGGAAGTGCACTTATACTGAAAATATATATAGTGTGTGTGCGTGCGTGCGTGCGTGTGTTTTATTTTAAGTTTAACCAAAAGTGCATTTGCCTTTTAGCTGTAGTTCACTGTTC